CGAGCAGGGGGGGTCCGGAACCCCTGGACCCCCCCCCCCTGTACACGCCCCTGGATCTACTGCGGAGTATTGGCTGGCCACAGCGAGCGGAGTGAAGTTGCTTAGCTGCGCATGCGCACATAGCCGCAATCTTGTCTCCGACAATGGCGCATTACGCGGTCCGGCGTATACAGGGTTACTTGTAAATATCAATTATAGAAAGCGATTTCTTTGTGATCAATGATGCGTCTTACTCGGTAAGTGAGCACCCTTTCAAATATAATAGATAACACAATTAAACTATTCGTTCGGCGTAATTGTCAGCCAGCTCAAGCTAATAATTGTTGCAATATTTCGTTCTATAGCCGCAAAGTCGACAATTTGGCGTGCACCCGTGAAAAACGCGACTACACTGGGTGAACTTAACCATTCTAGCAACAATGCCCAAAGAGGGCGTTGTTATTTCGTTCAGAGGGATAGGTCATTTCCTTTTTCGTGTACAGAGGTGGTCCCATTATCCAGCATTAGGGGATATGATATAGGGGATATTAGGGCATCGAGTATGGGGGTACTTCGCGCGATCATTGGACCTTTGCAATCGGCACTCGAAATTTATTGTCTTATTGTTGTTCCCGGAGATTGCAATTTACTAGTCAAACATAATTTTACAGAGTAGATTTACGAGTATATCTCTAGTGAGCTGTAACGCGCGCGATATTGGCAATGGTATATGCGGGTGCCTGGATTTCAACGCCTCGCCGTTTCTACACGTGCCGAATCGTTTTTCATGATGAGTCGCCATGACACTCACGACGTGGCGCGGGCGTTTAATGACGTCACACCGGTCTCCCATCAGCTCGCTTTCCATTGAATGTAAACGTAAACGCTATTGCTGCAAGAGAAAGAAAGGGGAAGGGAGAGTGAGAGCTAGAGAGACGGGAAGGAGAGGGAGAGTGAGATAGGAAAGGGAAAGAGAGAGTGGGAGAAAGGTAGAAAGAGGGGGAGAATGAGAGCGAGAGGAGAGAGAGAGAGGGACAAAGCACTGGAAAAAGAGGAGGAGAAGTGAAGCAAGCGATGAAGGAATACAGGGAGGCTAGCTGTCATTAGATACGAAAAAGACTCTCGTAGCAAAACCACAAGCGTAGGCTGGCTAAGTGAGTGGAAAATTACGGCCATACCTGAGCAGGTAGCATACATGATATGGGACAGCATATATATATATATATATATATGTATAAATACAGACGCTAGACACTTTCATCTAGCTGAAAAATCTATATTTTACCTATAATCTGAACACACATACTGACACTATATATGTCCATCTAATTAGTAAGCAGTTACCTGCAAGCACAAATGACGACACTAGACTGAACATTCCGAACCAACCCAAGGGATCTAGGAGTAGAGACGCCAGGAGCGCCCCTATTGGTGTGGTTATTGCCTGCCAGAGAGAAAGAGAGAACGAAGAGATTAAATGAAACCAGTCTAATCTACTACGAATTATAGATAATGTTGTGCTACATCGATGACGTGCCCCGCGTGATGGCGCCACCCTACCATTCATTCTTACCGTATATGACCATCTAGTATATTTTTTTCTGTGATACTCACGTTTGCGCTGCAAACCAATCCGAAGGTGATGGCGAAATATTTTTGGCCGAAGCAGCGACTGACCGCTGTCGGTATGAGGATGAATAGTCCCGAAGACACCAAGTAGATGGCGCTAATCCACACGGCGTACATAGTGGCGCCCCCGTGCGGCGTGGCAATGAGTGTCATGAAGAGGGCAAACAGACCCGCGTTCAGGCAGAGCATGCACGTCTGTGTGAACAAATACATACCACGTCAGGGAAATAAACACGGACTATATAAGTGGAGCAAACACAGTCTTCATTTATATAAGTGTCGAGGGTGGACACATTGTATTTTAACGATCATGGGACGTCGTATGCATTGTAGCATAGTTGCATGGTTGCATGATACTAAATAATTAATGAAATATCTGAATCTTTATTAATGAAAATTAATAATGAATTAATAAGAATTACTTAATAGAATTAATATTAATAATAATAATAATAATAATATTGTATTCTCAATCACCAAAGCAATATTGTGTAAAATGTCGGGGTTACCTTGAACGTTGATTTATCAATGACGATTCCCCACATTATCCTCCCCAGCGAGTTCCCAATAGATGCCAACGAACCCACCAGTGCGAGAAACTTGTCATCGTAGATGAACGTCTGCCCATATACCTGTAAAATATAACAAACACAAATATATAAAACTAGCTCTCGAGTTAGTTGTATCTATTCTATCTGTTTTTTATCACCTGTTATAACACGTGGTTATTCCTATACACCGTATACCAACGAACCAGATAACGCATCGCTGGATATTTGCTCCCATTTCTCGACACGGGTACATACTTTTAAGCAATTTCAAATGAGGTCCTGCCCGCCGTCAACAGCATTATAATATATTATAGTTGTAATAACGTTTTTGCTGAGACAGGTGCACCCCACCATGCTTACAATGGCGGCATGGCGTCTGCACGAGCGTGGAGTCTGTGCAAATTCCTCGTCGTGCCCCCGCTGAACTATACATAATCTTATTTATATAATATAGGGGTTACATATAGATCAGTGATGTCACCAGGTGTTGTAATATATCAATCCATTCCCTAATCCATCCATCCAACCATGCATGCTTGTATACATCTATCCATCCATCCATCCATCCATCCATCCATCCATCCATCCATCCATCCATAATCAGGCCGGAAGTCGGGCGTGACGAAGAAGGGATTGGACAGACCCGGCTGGATCCTGCTGTAAAGCTTTCCCGGGCTTGGCGCGTTCGCTTGGCCTCCTCTTCGGGCCAGACGAGACCAGACGGAGGCCCTTGCCAGTGCAAAAGGACAGGCGCTTGAAGGATGGCAACGCCTCCGCCCGAATAGGTGCAGACGCCACAACTGCCCCACGAGACCCCTCGGCCAACCGCCCGCCGGCCCTCCGTAAAACTGCGATGGCAGCGAGTTGCAGAGTTCTTCTTCGCACGTTTTTCTGGCGACAGAGCACATCAGGGCCCACCCCCCTCGACGCAGGGTTAGAAGAGCGAGCCGAAAAAAGTTTTTGCCCCTGATAAACCAGCACGCTGGGACATGTAATATATATGCAAAAAACTGCTAGTACGTCGACCTCCAAAAAACAACGATTTCAAAACATATCATCCCAATACAGCCTAATCTCGCACTTTGTTTCTATTTGAAGACAGTGTTGACTTTTGAAAACAGTAAAATGTCTTTGATTCCTAACCGCGCGACAACCGAGTCTGTGTTGCACGAGCGGCGAAATACACGAGAATCTGCTACTTGACGAATTTCGGCGCACGACGCGACCACCACGCAGACGCGCTGAACGCCACGATATTTCCTCTAACTATCACGTCGATAATCTAATGCAACATAGAAAATCACATTGGTTTAGCGTCAAGAATGATACGAAGCATGTGGGACGAGTGCAGGGCTAGACTGCTTTACCGGACTCACTCCTCAGCCACATCGATTGGGCTATACTGAAGCTGAGTTACGCTAGCGTGTGAACTGTGCACCGGCGGCAGTCTAGGTCAATCCGAGCCAAGCGGAAGCGTTTTTTTTTTTTAACTGTTGAATGGGGTCCGTAGATGACTCGTTGGCCCATCCTATGGGTCGCGAATAACTTTTCCAAATTAATTGTCAGGGCATACCAGCGGAAACGGAAAAATTATTTTTTACACGAAAGGAGGACGCGCGCTCGAGCCAACACGCACACAACAAACGACGACATTTGGATTTATTCTGCCGCCGTACGTGGGCAAAGGTCGAAAGGCTTCTGGCATCGCCACAACTCTCTCCCAAATGACCGATTATCGCGGCCTTTCTGTAGTAGCCAGAGGGCCTCGGGTAGATGTTTCTAAATAGAGGGCAGCGAATAAGTCATTGTGTCCGCGCGCCGAGACGGCGTTGGCGCCTTCGGCACGGATATCCGGACTGCAGATTCGTCCAGATGAGACGGGACTACTAGAGAGCGGTGCCGAAAGGAGGTGCTTTTCCGAAGTGCTGCGGCGGATCTTGCGCGCAGTTCCCGCGCAAAGGCGCAGCGCATACCGCGGAAAATTCCCTACACATGTATGCAGTGCGCTGGCAGCTATGGATCCGTGCCTCGAATGCATATGCCGCGCACAGAATGCGCACCCCCATAGGCTTGCAGCAGAACAGTCCGGCAATTTTAGTGGGGGACACAGAGGGCAGACATTTGGAACGTGGAACAGTGTTCACTTGTTATAAAAACTGTATAACGCGAGTATATGTGTTCGTACCGAGCTGTGTCACGCGACAATCAGCAGAAAGACTGTAGAAATTCTGACTTGCGAACCTTGGCCCAGTATGGCAAAGTGGGCTGTCAGAATCAGGAAAGATGGCACGTACCGGCGCGTGCTTCGTGACCTCATTGTGGTGTCGCCCACAATGCTGGACCGTTTTTGCACACGTTCCAAATGGCGAGCTGCGTACAGGAGTTGCAAAGGCAGTGCGCCGCCTGCCCTGCCGCCCTATAGGCCCCATAGACTGGCACTCGCTCCCACCTCTCGGACTTAGCTTAGTCACTCGATGGCTTCGAGGTGGGAGCGATGTCGCTAGTCTATATAGCCTTTGCACGCTCGGCAACCTTTCTTCGAAGAGAGTAGGCCTATACTAGAAACATTAAGATTGTAGTAAACTATAGATTTCGTATTTTTTGTTGAGCATATATTTTTATTGAAGACGCTTCAAGTGCGCTGTGTCTAGTATAGGGGTAGGGTTCTAACCCTGCAAAGAGGCGTTTCTTGAGCTAGCTAGTAGTAGTAGTACTATATAGTAGCTAGTATTACTAGTACTGTAATGTAAGTAATACTATTAGCTATTACTATTAGCTCCTGCCGTCCTGGTAGTAACTATACCTATAGTATAGTAGTTGCTGGTAACCTAGTAGTACTACTACTAGTAGTACGTACTTAATTAGCTGAGTAATTATGTGTAAGCATGTACTTGTAGTAGTAGACTATCTCGTAGGTGTGGAATGTACCAAAAGCCCCCCTCTAAGTATAGCGGCCGGAGAACACGCGAACTGTAAACCAACATAATGCACGGCTTAGCGCAATGAACGTGAAGGAAGCCAAGATGGCCTACGGATAATAAAGCAACGTCACGATTCCAGCTAGAACTCGTACGGGGCCAAGTATCTTTGGTCTAGGACTAAGTATAGTTAGTGAGCGTGGTCAAACTCTCCATCCGGGCGGGGCGACGTCTAAGCCTATTCGGCCGTTCTTCTGTCGAAAATTCTCTGGAGAAAATCCTCGAAGAGGAGCGCTCGTCGCGCCCATCTATGGGACCGCGATATGTTACGAGAATAAGCTTCAGTTATTAAATAAAATAATTAAATAAATTGCGAAAATGCGCTTTGGCTAGAGGAAAAACCTAACGGCGCCAACGACAGCAATTTTGTTAGCATTACGAGCATTTTGCCATTTATTCTCGGCCGCCTACGTGCATAGTCGAAAGGGCTTCCTGCAGAGCGCCAGCAAACTCCTGCATTGACGCGTGGCGATACCGGCGCGATCTGACAGAACCGTGAAATTGTTCTAATACGAGAGCAGCGAATGTCGATCAGGGGCGGCGGCCGCGAGGCGCGGCGCTGTTCGCTGCTTCGCGCGAGTATCCGGCTGCAGATCGTCTAGTAGCTTCATCTGTAAGACTTTGAAGGCAGCTGATGTCTGTGTTTGCACTATGGATTACAGTTGCATCAAGCTACTACAACTCTTTCTCGCTCCGAACTCGCTATTGCAGTGGTTTCCTGACAGCAGGGTCTGGCTAGCGGGCGTGGGTTTGTCGGCTCGGCTTCGGAAGCGGGAGCCTTCGTGTTCAACGCCAGCGCTACACACGGCCTCATCAACGCGTGGACTTCAAGCCCCGATCAAGCGACGTCCAACGCGCGTGATGTGAGTGTTAAAAAAAAATTCGGCGGCCACGACCGCGGTAAATTACCTTCTCCTCTCTCACCTTGGCTAAAGCGTCAGACAGCGTTGGAAGCGCCGGAGATGAGGTGGACGCGGGCAAATTTAGGCGAGGCGTAGGTAATGCAGTGTGAAAGTTGTTATCGCGTATATAGGGAAGAGCATGATATTTACCAATATTATTTATGGTTAGGGTTAGGGTTAGGGTTAGGGCTTGACACAGGAATTATTACTGTATATGACAAGCATATTTCACTTTGCCAAGCGAATATAACTAGACAAGTGCGGTGTAGTTTGAACCGTCATTATTATATTCGGTATATAAATACACTGTATACATTACGATACACACACGCACGCTACAAGCACGCAACGACGCACAACGCACAGCGCATACACGAACGCGGTCTTACCAGACGGCACACGCACGACGCACATCACGCACGGCACACACACAACGCACGTACACACACGAGCACGTGACAGACACGCGCACGCACGCACACGCGCACTGCGCACGCAGCGACAGAGCCGTCAACCCACACACACCCCCCACACAGCGGACGACGACACACACAAACAGACTACACCACGACACGCGCGGAACACACAGCACACGAGAACGTGCACGGTACACACACAGTACACCACCATGCACGACGCGCACCGACACGACACACACGACACACAACGACACAAGCAAGTTACAATCACCACAGCAATACACACACACGCTCAGCGTGCCCGCAGCGACGCAGACGCACCACGGCAACACACAGCTACACACACACACACACACGACGAGGTGGGGACGCGGGGCCAAGCGGCTACCACTGCGCGACGCGCGCTACACGACACACACGTAGCACACAGTCTCGAGGTGCACAGTACCACCACACGTCACGCACGCGGACAGGGCACGCCGCATCACGCGTCCGTTGCGTGCGGCGTGTGTGTGTGTGTGTGTGTAGATGTGTGTGTTGTGTGTTGTGTGGTGTTGTGTGTTGTTGTGTGTGTGTGTGTGGTGTGTGTGTGTGTGTACTGGTATATGTATATGTACGCTATTGTATGAACATGAACGGCATAGAGCCACAGTGCGGACATAGTGGCATGCAAACGCATTGAGCGTGGCGTGAGAAATCAGCCGAAGAACTAGGATTTAGGACAACTAAAATAGCAGCGAACTATACTATATATTCTAGTATAAATTTATATTTCTTTATAT